AAAATTGAAAGTAGACCTTCAAATAACCTTGAAAATGAAGGTCAAGGTCATTGTCAAGGTCATAGTTCAATCAGCCCTTTCATATCCAACAATTTTTGTTTTAAACATTTTTTTATTTAATCGCGATGTTTCGAGTTATTTGGCTGTCTAAGTTAAAATAGGTCACCCCGTATATATATATGAATAAATTTAAAAAACTCTAAATTATTATACATAGTAAACTTTAACAATATTACAAATATTACAAAATTACAAATATTTAACCTTAATTATATTTTGCAACTGTATAGAAAAAATTCACAAATTACAATAGTGCAAAAATCTCCATTACCAGTGCTAGCATGATATAATGAAGATTTCCTGTGGTGTGGAAGTGTTGATCCTCTAAGGTGAGTTGGTAACAGTCGCGATGGTAGGTAAGCCCTATTCATCCTAGCTTCTACTTCCATTACCAATTCCGGATTTATAACTACATGCATATTACCAACCAAGGAGAGCACGGAAGTGCAGCGGACACAAAAAAACATGCAAAATCAAAAACAAAATTCAATAAAATATAAATAATGTGCAAATACTAAAAAATAAGGCTTAAAATATAATAGGGGCAATATAAAAATACGAAGCTTAATCAAATCACTATAATACCTATGTATGCATGTGTGTGCTAGCGCGTGCGTATGTGTTACCTTTAATATATTGAATTGCTTTTTATGCACAGGCTGAAACTCAATATAATTTTGACGAGTTCAGTGTTTATATCATACCAAATACTCTCATTATATCGAAATAAAAGTAAATTTTTAGCCAAATTAAATAAAATTTTTTAATTAAATAAATTAAATAACATTTTTTTTTAACCATTTAAATTCGATCTTTTCTTTAAAAAATATAGTTTTTCACACACACGTATAATAGTATCTTATGGCGAACTCGATTGGAAGCACTAGTACGCACTGGTGTATATTAAAGTCGTTGTACACTGATTTAATTTAAATATAAAAATAAAATGTATTAAGTATTTCACGATTTAATCGATTTCTATATTTATTTATAAACATATCTTTATGTTATTTTGTGTAACACGGCTTTAATGTGCACCAGTACAAACTGAGTGCGTCCAATCAAATTCGCTATTAGAGTTTATCATTAAATATTTTTCTAAATAACTTTTCAGTTATACTTTTATAAGTTCACACTTGACATCAAGAACATAATTTTTTCATTAACTTTTCTTTTTAAAGTACAGATTGTAAAAAGTTATTTTACTATTCTTAGTTGATATATATGATTCAGGAACTATTAGATAATAATTCTATATTTTTGTTGAAGAAACTATTGCATTTTTTTTACTCAAAGAATTTATTATTAACTCAAAACTCAAATTTTAGCTGTTTTTATGTAGAATCGAATGTCACACAGTGATTTTTGATCTTTAAAATGACTATCATGGCAGGATCCTTAATGGGCTATTGTTAAAGATTTTTTTTAAACAAATTTCAATTACCGAAGCACAGTAAAATAAAAAATTTTTGTATTTCCGTAGATTAAAGTCTTTGGTCGCTGAATACAAATCCGCAATCATAATTGTGAAATTCACAATGATAAACCCAATATGGCGGCCAAAGAACGATCATAAAAAATGTCTGTTTTTCAGTCCTCGATTTTGAAATCAAATTTTATGCCAAGTTATAGCTTATGATGAGACATTAATTACAAACAAGTTTTAAGTTGAGCATGCGATTGGTTTTCGAAATATATCCAATGCATTTTTTTTACGGTCCGCCGGATCACAGCCGAAAATAAAATATATTTTATTATTTTATCTAAACTATCAAAATAATAACATTATGCGATTCGCAAACCTTGGTCATTTTGAAAATAATACAATGTTTACTTATTTCGGTGTCCATTCATTTTCCTAAATATTACACACAAGCCTTGTTGAGTAGATTTCAAGCATTTATTTTAAAACTATGGTTATATTTAAAAACACTGCCCGAGTGTCTCTGTGTATCATTTTATGCTTGTTCACCGAATATTAATCAAAATAATACTCGAATATTATTTTTATTAAGAATATTCAAAAAAGGCATGCATTGTTTTTCGATTGTTGTAATGGATAAATGCGCTACACGCATAAACTCGTTCGCAGTATCTGATTAGGTAAACGCTAACATGCGCCCACAGTGTTCACAGTATGCAGTATGCTATTCACTGGACGTAAACATAATAGATTTATAACTTGGAAAGAAATTTTGAAAAAATTAAATCTCAGGATGGCTGCAAGTTCTAGTAACAAACGAAAGATTCATGATGAGAAAAGAGAATTTCATTTGAGTAAAAAATTATTCAAGACCAATATTTTGCAATTTTTAGTAATTAATATCTTGTTAACTATTGCGAAAATTGCAAAACGGTAGAGGACTTTTCGACATAGTTTAGTCCGCTCTACCTATAGTATTTTAGTAAAAAATTATTCAAGACCAATATTTTGCAATTTTTAGTAATTAATATCTTGTTAACTATTGCGAAAATTGCAAAACGGTAGAGGACTTTTCGACTCAGCTTAGTCCACTCTATCTACACAAAAGTGATTGGCAAAAAAGGTCGGGACACCCTGTATAATTTGAAAAGAAAAAAATATTAAATAATGTCGAAATGATGTAGATATAAAGCATTTTAACAATGAATATCAAGGATACAATAAATTTTGTATCTTTTTCTATACTTACATATATTTTTCATAAATTCTATATCATTTCGGTTAAAAACAGTTTTTTTACTGTAAGAAACCTGTTTTTTACTTTATTCTAAAGTAAAAAAAAACCAGTTTTTTATCTCTAGTAACATTAGATATTCTTTTTATTATATGTATTTAGCATATATTGTTTTTAAATTTTTTTAAAAAATCATACCTTGTATATCAAATAATAAAGTAAAAGAATTGAATTTTGTACATGTTTATATTTAATTTTATATTTTCTTAATTAGCATAATTTTTTCACATCCGTATTTCATACTTCTATAAATAAATATGTTCAAAACAATACAAGAGAAACACAGTTTTAAGTGATATAAAATTGTATATAATATTATTTCAATTGTAAATCTCTTTTACTTACATATTATTTTTTATATGTTATAAAATACAAAATGACACAAAATTTTTTTCAATTTTTTATAATAATCTTATCGTATATTTAAATAAAAAAATTTTTTTTGCAAAGTTATTGTGTACGATATTACTACTTCTAATTATAATTATCAATATAGCACAGAATTTATAAGACGTTCATAAAATATTCTAAAAATATTTATAGAACGTTCATAGATGTTCTATAGACGTTGCGTGTTATCTAAGTAATATTATCAATCATAAATCATCATTCGGAATAACTGTATTATTATCTACAGTTTCAATGTGCTATCACATATTTTCTCAGCAACTCTGATATACGATAAAAGCATTTATAAAGAAAAATGGATAACAAAAACAACGAACAATAACAGAAAAAGCACAGCTTGAAACATAGTGCTAATTTTGAACAACGTATAAATATTAAAGAATACTACAAGCCATACAGTCATAATTATATATAATTGTTGGAAAGAAAAAACTCAACACATTATTCAATTTTTAACTACATCATACCTGGTCGCTGCATAACAGTGCTAAGGCCACTTCTTCTTCTTCTATCACTATTTCCACTATTATTACCACTGTTGTTATTACTCCCGTCTCCAGTCGCAGTACTGACAGCAACATTTAATGATTGAGCACATGGTACTAATCCTGAACTACCACTCTGTAACTATTTGCGTATTTTTATTAAAAATTTTGAACTTGTATGTTAATATAGAATATACTTTACATAACATGATTTGATAGTAGACAAAGACTAATACAAAATAATATAACACAGAGTTCTAAAATAATCTCATGCAGAGTATTAAGAAATTCTTGGTATCAAATGAAGTAACTTTTTGTCAAAATTCCGTTTAAATGAAATAATTAAAAAGTATGTAAAATTGCCTAAATAGCGTATAAATATATTAAGGGGGTATACTCATTGTCAGAAATTTCAAAAAATTGATTTTTTTTAAATCACATTTTCTTAAAGTATATAATGTTAGAAATATTCCCTGAAAATTTCAAGTTAATCCGCTGTATTTTTTACGGAGATATATGATTTTGAGTATACGTCTGTCGGAACGCTCCTATTATATTCTGGCATCAAAAATAGGGTGTTTCATTTAAAAAAATCGATTTGATCTTGACCTGATCTTGGGGATGTTACCCAAGGTCAAATTAATAAGATCTATAAATAGATCTTTTTATACCTTACAACTTTTATCTGAAACATTTCTTTGAAAAACGTCATCCTCTCGAGTAAATCCTGGATCCCGACCTTTTTTGAACACCCTGTATATAAATTATAAACAACGCGAATTAGGTTATTTTTCCATCTTAGTAAAAATTGTATTACATAAGTTTCATTATGTATAAAATCTAAACGTACCATTTTTTTTAATTTTAGAAGAGATTTAAAATTTATTAATTGAATAGGAGACTCATTTATTACAAAAGAATTTTTTATCAATGCCACTAAAAGAATAACTTGAAAATAAAATAATTAGACAACACATAATAATGTTCTATATAAGCTCTTGCAATGTTTTAAAAATATTAAAACTTTGACAATGAAAGATAATATAGGCTCCTTCTATTTAACGAACTAACAAATATGAAATAAGAGTTAGAAATCGGCACTGTTATTTGTGCGCTATAAATTGTAAAACCTTATTAGTTTATCTAATAGTCATTTACTGAGCTTCAATATCATTATATAATAAAACAGAATATAAAAGATCAATACCATCGAATAATAAACACGTACGTTTCGGCTATTTTCTAACCTTCTTCAGCGCATATAAAACCTTTTGTTACCGTTTAAAGTTTTGCAAACTACATTCTTTCGTCAACACGCTGTCCTATAGCTAAAACTACACACTCCTAGCGGAGAAATCTTTATCTCACGACTAATTAGAAAATTGGATTTTTATTCTTTATTCTCAATTTAGTCCTTAAAATGGTTATTTATTCTTTATTCTCAATTTAGTCCTTAAAATAATATAATATTAAGTAAATAAATTGTACTAGGATAAAAATTAAATAGAATAATCAACCTGAGGTAACATAAGCGAATGTGTATTCAGTAAAGAACATTGCATTTCACATGTTTAACTTCAAATATAAAATGGCCGATGAACAGGATTCCAATCTGACGGTTACATGTTAGCGAATAACAATAAAATAAAGGCAGCTTAGAATTTAAGACAAAACGATCAAAATCGAATCTACATATATAAGACATATAAACAATCATAAACTACCTAGGTAACATTGATATGCTTAATTAAGTAATTCGATGTATTTAAATTAATTCCATTTTTTACCGTTTAATGTAGATCATTTCTGTAATTAAGCGTTTTGTGTAATTTTCCTCAATATTTAAGATTTCAAAATTCAACAATAAAAAATAGAAGTAATGACCGTAACGGTCCATGACGCACCTTGTAATCAGTAACTACAGAATGCGTGGTTGTCTTTCACCTTAATAATTGTAATTGCATAGCAAAAGTGTTCTTCTAAATTTTCTAGAGTTTCTAGTTTTTGTGAGAAACTTCTTAAACATCCTCATAGAAAATAGAATCAAATCCGTTTACCGACTATATAATAGAGCTACCTACCAATTTAAGAATTAGGAAACTTTATGTTGAGATAATGCCTCGCAAGCCTACTGCTATGAGGTGGTACTTCATCATACATCGGACATATAATGATAAATCTTCAAATATGTCCGATAAATTTTCTGTTAAAAAGTTAATATAAGTATCTCCTCTTATTCTATTCGGTCCACAATGTATGATCTAATAAATTAATCACCTATTATTGTAGCTCAAATATTTAATATCCATCGATCGTCGTTCTCGAAATACAAACGGACTTCCTTTGGTCCGATAATAAGTATGTATTACGTGTATTAAAAAGTCTTACACATACAAATAACCTAGCAAGAAAAAAACATTCTGAAACATTCCAGCAGCACTGCAGCAACGTTATAACATTGTTACAACGGCAATGTTTTTGGAATGTTTCAAAATGTCTCTTGATTACTGGGAAAAATTCATAGATAAATAAAATTTAATACAATATAATAGAGGTAATACATTTTACGTTATGCCTAACTTGCGTGTCTAGTATACTAATTGAACAACTTTAAATAGCAATCGTTTAAAAACTATCATTTAAACGGAATTTTGATAAACACAAAGTTTATTATTGTTTCGTGAAATACTAAGAATTTCCTGACATTTTGCACCGAATTTAAAACAATAAAATATAAATTATCTACTACAAGTATTATATCTCATTTCTTTATATATCTATTTTTATTTATACTAAATCTATTTTTATTGTTAAAATTATAATAATAAAGTTGTATTATTTAACGAAAAAAAATAAACTATTACAAAATTGGACTTTATTTTGACTGAAAAATTAAGGATTAAAATTGAGGTGTGTGTGGGTAGGTGAGTGGGTAGGTGTGTGTGTGCGCGCGCGCGCGCGCGAGCGAGTGTGTGTGTGGGTGTGTGCGTGCGTGCGTGTGCGCGCGCGCGCGCGCGTGTGTGTGTGTACATATACATATATATATATATATATACACGGTAGGCCATTTTAATCTTTCCACGTTGATAACTCGAAAAGGGTGCATTTTAGGGAAAAATGTTTCAGACAAAAGTTTTGTGACTTCGAAGAGGACATAGGATGGTATCATTGGTTTAACCTTGGGTGGCGTTGTCAAGGTCAGGACAAGGTCACTTTGAATTTTTTAAATGGAATCTCCAGTTTTTTATTGCATATTCTTATAGCTTACTTTGAGAGCTTTTCAAAACACTATAATAAAAAATTTTTTTATTAAATACTTTGCGAGCTTGAAAGTTACAGCACCGCCGGCATTAGCATTACGCAAGGTGTCCAACCGATGGCTAAAACCTCTTGAATGTTGTTCGGGATCATAAACTGGATAACATTTGTCAAGGTCAAGGTCATTAGAGGTTGTTCCTCTTATTTTCATTTTTACGTAGAAATAAATTTTTAGTGCAAAAATAAAAATAAGAGGTACAATCTCCAATGACCTTGATCTTGACAAATGTTATCCAGGTCATGATTCTGAACAACATTCAACAGCTTTTAGCCGTCGGCTGGACACCTTAGGTAAAGCTAATGCCGGCGGTGCTGTAACTTTCAAGCTGTATAACTCGTAAAGTACTTAAGGCCCCTGACTAGTCAACATGCAACTAGTCAAAATCAATCGGCGACCTGGCGAAATGTGGTAAAATCGGTAGCCACACATACAAGCACGAGCCCAAGTACATGTGCTTCGGCGCGCCAAAAGCAAGCACATGTACATGGGCTCGTGCTTGTGTGTGTGTTACAGCGCCTCGCCATGATAAATGGCTGAACTTCTAGGCGGAAAAATGACGTTTTGACGACGTATATGCTACAAGCTATTTCGTTATTTTTTGCTTGATTGTGAAAATGTGACGTGTCTCGTACTTATGAAAGTCCTAAAAATGGGCAGAAACTATAGATATCCTGGAATTTTATACGTAAAAGCATATATTTCATTCATTTCAATAACTGTTCAAACCGTGTGTTTCTGCCCGAAATTAGGTTCACTTTACCTGCCTTTTACGACTATTTACTGACTATTATAGTCAGACTAAGGGAGAAAAGAACAGTTTTTGCCCATTTTTACAAGTATTTTAAAGCAATCTCGTCATTTAGATTTATCCACATTGTCTTTATTTACAGATAGCTTGCAGCATAAATTAACATCATTCCTCGCTTCTGACATCGACTTTACGATAGCCACCGCGACTAGTTAGGAGCCTTAATAAAAAAATATTTTATTATCTGTTTTGAAACGCTCTCGAGGTAAGCTACAAGAATATACAATGAAAAATTGGGGATTTCATTTAAAAAATTCAAAGTGACCGTGATAACGCCATCCAAAGTCAAACCAATGATACCGTCTTATGTCCTCCTCGAAGTCACAAAATTTTTATCTGAAACATTTTTCCCGAAAATGCACCCTTTTCGAATTATCAGCATGGAAAGATTAAAATGGCCTACCCTGTATATATATATATACAGGGTGTTTGAAAATTATCGGCTAATC